ACTGCGACCCTATCTTGAGCTCGTTGGGTCCCTCATGTATGCTATGATGTGCACTCGCCCCAATCTTACCCGCTCAGTGTTCTCTCTCGTTTTGTCGGCCTTGGTCGCCACACTGATATGCACTAGGCGGCTGCCAAGCGCGTTCTCCGATATCTGTGTGCTACCTCTGATCTTGCACTCACTCTTGGTGGCTCTTCCCCCCCCGTTCTTTCCGGTTACAGTGATTCTTCCTACGCTGATTCTCGCCATGATCGTCGCTCCTCTCATAGTTATGGTTTTACTTTTGGTAGTAGCCTCATCAGCTGGCGCTCCACTCGCTCATCCTCTGTCTGCCTTTCCACCTGCGAGGCTGAGTTGTACGCAGGCACATTGGCAGCTCAGGAGGCTCGCTCGCCCTCGTTTCTCCTTGCTTGGCTGAGCCACTCTCAGCCCTCTGTGACGCTCTCCTGTGACAGTGCGAGCATGATTCACCTCACTGAAAATCCTGTCTATCACGCTCGCAGCAAACACATCGAGGTCCGCTACTTCTTCGTGCGCGAGCTGGTGCAGTCTGGCTTCCTCTGCCTTCGCAAGGTGGCCGTTACTACCAACCTTGCTGATATTTTCACCAAGACTCTCCTTCGTGTGCCACACCGTTTCTACGTGCGCGCTCGGGCTCTCGCCACCTCTAGGGGTGTTCCGGTTCGCTAAGTGTTTTGTTCCAGAGCTTCCCCTAGCCTAAGGGTGTGTTGGAGTAGGCTAGAGCTCGCTTTGGCATTTATCCTGGTGTTCTTTTGTTATTTCGCCATGTTTAGGGTGAGTTACACTTTCGGTTCAATTTAGGTTCTATTCTTAGTTTCTAGCACAAACTGAACACACCCTAAGTTCAATTAAGGTTTCCTACATTTGTATCTCGACACTCTTTCGTAGTAACAATTCTTTCGCTACCTTATTTCTCCCTAGCCATGGCTTCCATATTCTTAGCTTTAACATGCAACACACTAGACGGTGCTGGACCAGGGAGGGGAGGGTGTAGCGGAGGGGCAGGAGGAGGAGCGGGAGCCGGAAAGAGGGGGAGGGGGGCCGGGATACCTCGATAGGGATAACGGGTGTAGTAGGGGACCGACTCGTCAAAGCGGACGTCGCGAGAGTGAAAGAGCCGGTGAAGGGGAGGGTGGTAAAAGGTGAAGTCAGAGGAGTCCTCAGGGAAACCAAGAAAGATACAGGGAAGGAACGGCGCGAGGCGAGAGCTTGTCCGCGGAGGTGTCGCGAACAAGCGCCAAGCAGCCCCAAAGACGAAAGCGGGACGCAACACCAGGGAACCCGATCTAAAGACTGGTCGGTGAAACCCCTGGTCGGGAGACACGTGGCTAGAGGTTCAGCTGGTGGGCGGCGTAACGAACCACGTAGGGCCACATAAAATGGGGCGCACGGGCGTGGATCATGGAGGTGTGTGCCATCTCCATGACCAAGCCTGTGGGGCGTTCAGCTACCCTATTATGCTGTGGAGACTCTGGAAGTGTCCAAGACTGTGCGATGCCCTGCTCGGCATAGAATCTGGCGAGAATGCCGGAGCGAAACTCACCCCCGCGATCGGAGTGAAGACAATTGACACTACGGTGACGAGTACCCTCTGTGGTGAGCAACCACCAGATCAGCGTAGAAGTTACGTCATACATCTTCACCAAAGGGAAAACGGTGGTGTAGCGAGAGTAGTCGTCGACGACCACCAGAAAGAAACACTCTCTCTCAAGACCAGGGCGAGGGGTGGGGCCCCACACGTCCAAGTGGAGAGTCTTGAAGGGGGCAGTGGCCGGACGAAGGGAGGAGGAGTGAGGGGTGGCGTGCAGCCAACCCTCGACGCAAGGGTCGCACGGTGGTGTAAGGTAAGGCGACAGCGACGGCAAGAATTCCGGGAGGCCTAAGACAAGACGCTGATTGGATGTAGTGCGTAGGCGGGGAAGGGAAGGGTGATCGAGTCGGTGGTGCCACAGGCTGGTAGGGTGGGGAAGCGGCCGACATGAGCACGACGCAACAACTTGACCGGACGACGTAAGCTGACCAGACACAGCTGTCTGGCGGGACGCAGCTACCTGGCAGGACGCTGGGAGCAGACGGGGGTCAGTAACAAGGTCGAGGACGGCTGCTGGTGCTGCTGCTCCAGCTGTAGCCTCTCTCGAGGGCCAGTGTAGAGCGTGTAGAGACCAGAACCCGACTCCTGGCGAAAGGTGGCCAGGGGGGCATACGTGTCACCGTCCACACAGGTCGCAGAGTCCCTAGAAGACTCAAACCAGACACCAATGTGCCGATTCACCAGATGCCTCACGCCCACAAACTTCCTAGAGGAAAAGGGGACGTGGAGGCCTGTCAGGGAACCTAAGGGGACGGCCGGGCACGGGAGCGTAGTAAAGTGGCGAGCAATGACTGGTCCCGAAGTGGGATCAGCCAGTGCTATAGAGACTAGTGCAGGAAGCGGAGTAAGAGTCGTGTGGTCGCGGAAGAAACACTGCGACGCACCAGAGTCCAGCGTGAAAGACAGCGACGCGTCCGCTGAAGTGGCACCTGGACTAGCGCCTAAAAAAACACCTACACTAGCATTGGGCACATGATCAACACTAGCACCTAAGCTATGAACATACAAGCAAACATATCTAGGAGCACTATAGTCAACATCAGCATACATAGCATGAACAGATCCTAACAGATCAAGCAACTGAGATGCAAACATGTCCCACAAAGCGGGAACGTGCGAGTGAACAAGAGGGAGCCAATCAGGTGCATGGCCATCTACGCCGTACGCCCCACGAAGACGGTCAGTGAGCTGAGCAAAGCACTGACCTGGTGGGTGACGACGGCCGTAGCGGTAGCCACTACGAGTACTGGTCTGAACGAAGTATGGGCAGGGCGGGTGGGCGTCACCACGTGACACTTGACGCTGGCCTAGACGCTGCTGCTGTACCTGCTATTGGTGCTACTGCTGTACCTGCTGCTGCCTCTGCTGCTGCTGTGGCTGCTGCGAGCGCAAGGGCTGCTGCTGCTGCTGCCGGTGAGCCAGGTACCTGGCTGCCACTTCTACGGCTCCGGCTGGCAACCCTGCAGGTCCCTGACCACCCCTAGTGTCACCTCCACCAGCCGCAGCAAGCGAGCCACTAGTGGGTGCACTTGGCTCATTGCCGGCTCCTCCGCTCCCTCCACCACCGTTGGTTGCCCCACCTCCGCCGCCTCTGCTACCTCCGCTACTGCTCGCACCCTTGTCGCCCCTCTTGCCACCCTTGCCTTTGGACCTCGCAGAGGTCGTGGCAGCGGCCGCGGTCTCGTCGGTCGCGGTAGAGGCAAGGGAGGCAGTAAAGGTGGGCAGCTGTGGGACAGTGCACCCCTCAAACAGTAGAGGGGGCACAGCGCCCGAGGCGGAAGCTACGGAGCAGAGGTTGCTCTCAACGACATTGAGCGCAGTCTCAAGGACGTCGATTGTGAGTTCGCTAGGGTGCTTCAGCAGAAGCGCGTCACGAACAGTGGCAAGGCGGTCAGGGAGGCTAGTGAGGATAAAATAATTAGTGATCGCCATAGGGGGGGGAAACAGTGCGAGCTGTGCGTTGGTACAGGCAGCGCGGTAGCTCAAGTCTAGCGAACGCAGGTGAGTGATCAAGTCAGCAGAGCGCTCAAAAGAAGCGAGGTCAGGAAACAGGAACGAGAGGAACATGCAACCAAGTGAGATAGTGGTGGGAGTGAAGTAACGGGCCTTAATCGCAGTGAGGAACTCGCTAGCAGAGCGAACCTGAGTGAAGTGCGCCTCCTTAGACTCAGGGAGGAGGCTGCTGGGGGCGATGCAGGCCACTGTGTCGCGAGACTTCCAAGCTTTAGGGGCAGCCCGCTCCCGTGCAAAGCGCTCCCAGTTTGCAACAGTGGGGTCAGCGCCTAGTGCAGTGGGGCAGGCGGCGCAGGGAGGTCACCGGAGGTGTGTGCCCAGAGGGTCTCGTCAGTCTGACACTGGCTCTCTAGTAGGTGATGCGCATGTAGAAGCTAGATTGAGAACTCCAGTGGTCTACCCTCGGCATCGAAAGGGAGAACTCTAGGGGCCGCCATTGCTGACTAGGTAGGGGGGAGATGTGGCTGCCAGCCGTCGAGAAGGCCTTAGCAGGGCGGGCAGGCTGCGCACTACGGGCAATTTGAAGGGCGGGACGCGACCAGAAGGGCGCAGGGCGCGACGGCAGGGCGCAGCCGGGATATGCGCGACATGGCATTCCAAGGGCGCAGGCGCAGACGCAACGGGCAGGGCGATGGGCACGGGCAGGGCGCTAAGGGCACGAACGGGCAGGGTGCAAGGGGCGCGGACGCGCAGGGCGCGACGGGCAAGGCGCTACGGGCGCGAAGGGCAGGGCGCAACGGGCAGGGTGCAACGGGCGTGACTGGCAGGGCGCTAAGGGCGGGATAGGCGGGGCGCAACGGGCGCGGCGGGCAGGGCGCTACGAGCTAGGCCCGACGGGCGGGACGGGCACTACGGGCGTGGCCAGTGCTACAGGCACTATGGGCGCTACGGGCAGGGTGCTTATCCTAATCTAACCTAGCTGATACCATCTCAGAATGGGAAAGGATGGTATAATTAGAATGAGTTGGGATACATACACCGCAGAAAATCCTTATGTTTGCACCCCACATGACATGCCCCACTACTATCTATCACATTTGACACTTTCATTGGTTGCGCTGCTTGTGCTCCTTTAGGAGTTGACGTAACTACAGAAGAGTGTTTCGTAAACCACATTTGCTCTACTTGTTTCTTTCCTAACCAGTCCAAGAGTGGCTGGTTCTTTACGATACTTATTGATAGTACTGCAAATGACCTACCCTTGAGATTCGTGTCATAGTACCATTTGTTAAGATTAACGTATTAGGATCACCTTTATGATAAGCCTTTTAAGGCTCCTCCTCCAGGAGAAGTTAGTAGTATCCCTCGACCTGATCTCCAATAAAGAAGGTTTTGTGACGCACTTACGTGTCTCTTGTCCGACACAGATCCCCGACTATTCAGCCTTCTTAGCCTCGTCCAGGAAAGGGTAGTCGATGTACCCCTTGACCTGGTCCGGGAAGAAGAAAGTGCTGCGGTCGTACGGGTTGAGTGGCGCGTTGAGTTCAAAGCGCCTCGGCAGGTCGGGGTTGGCGAGGAAGAGACGGCCGTACGCGATCAGATCCACCGCCCCGCTCTCAACCGCTGCCATACCGCTCTCCCGCTGGATATTTGGATAACAGCAGGGAATTGGAGGGGACGGGAGAGGAGAGCATAGCGGGGATGATTGGGGGAGTGGAGATAGGGGCGGAAAGGTGGGGGGAAGAGAGGGTGGGGTTGTGTGCATGCGGGATTAAAGCTGCTTCGAGTTACAAGGGAAGCACAGAATATGGATAGAGTGCAGCAATGAAACGTAACATGGGATAACCATTAGAAACCACAGCATGCATTGTTTCACAACCACACAATGACATTCACCTTACCCATCAGCAACGGCACAGCGGGCTCTGTTGCAAGCATTGCCATACATGCAACATGCGTTGTCACGATAGAGGAGCCAACACGCTGACGCAGCACTTGTGTCACAACAGACTGGGCCCAGCATACCTTGAAGCCACCAGCAGCAATGAAGGGCCCCTTGAATGCCTTGCGGAATGGCTCCAGAGTCTGCAGATAGAGTGCAAAAGGGGGGGGGGGGGGGGGGAGGGAGGAGGGGCAACAGAGATGAAGGAACCCCATGAGCACTTTGTAAGCCCCATAAACAACATTGAAAATGATAAGCAGCAGCAGCAAGCAAGCATAGAGTGACTTTCACGATGTGACTTAAGCTGGCCCTCTGAGAAACGCACTCATCCAGGCGCTCCTTCCTCTCTCTCACCAAACCCATAACTTTTGCTTCATTGTCTTAGCAAGCATAGAGTCACTTGCGCCATGTGCCCCGCCCACCCTAACCCCGCCTCGTTCACATCCCAACCCCGCCGTTCCGCAAGCACCGCTCACCTCCTCCTCAACTTCCATGTCATCATTGCCGCGCACGCGCGCCTCAATAAAGTGCACGTACGCCAGCCCCATGCCGTTCAGACGCTCCACGAGCCCCACATAGGTGGCGACGGGGTCGGAGTCGGTCTCGTCCAGGAAGGTGCTGTAGGGCGACAGCCGCACGCCCACCTTGCTGGCTCCCACCTCGTCCGCCACTGCCTTGATCACCTGCAGGTGGGGGGAAGGGATGGGGGGGCGGGGGAGGGATGTGGGGGAGATGGGAGGAGGAAAGGGGAAGGAGATGGGGGGAGAAGGTGGAGAAAGGAGTTGGGCAGAAAGGGGGCTGTTTTCAGCGTCTCACTACAGCCCCACGGTCTCAAACAAACAGAGTATTGGCAGCCTATTCCCAGCGACCCATGCACTCAACCCCATGGGTGATGTTTGCACACACCACAATCACAATCCTCCCTGAAGTCACAGCAGCTGGACCCACCAGCAGGGCGCAGCAGCTGGACCCACCTGCAGGGGGAAGCAGCTGGACCCACCTGCAGGGGGAAGCAGCTGGACCCACCTGCAGGGCGCAGCAGCTGGACCCACCTGCAGGGCGCAGCAGCTGGACCCACCTGCAGGGGAAGCAGCTGGACCCACCAGCAGGGCGCAGCAGCTGGACCCACCTGCAGGGGGAAGCGAAGCCTGTTCTCCAGGGACCCTCCAAACTCGTCCTCTCGCTTGTTGGAGCCGTCCTGGCGAGGGGGAGAGGTGAGAAGAGGCAAAATCACAGGAATGAGGGAGGAAGGGGTTGGATGGGGCGGGGAGAAAGAGTGGCGGTGGGTTGTTGAGAGAGTGGGGATAATGAGTGAGGCGGCTCATGTCTGAACTGAACGTGCTGGGTGAAAGCAGAACTGGAGAGAGGAACAAATCTCAACAATTCCAAGTGGCTTGTGTCATAAAGTGATTTGAGCTCTCTTTTTTGAACCACAAGAACCACACATGTGTAAATCCCCACTCATCCCACCTTTTTACACCGCAACATGAGAACAGGAGAGAAGTAAAGTTAGTTTTAGCGCTAACCACTGGATTCCAAAAAATGAATCTCACAAAATGAACATTACAGTGTAGATATTCTCCAGCATCTCCGCGCTGCATTTTCTCACAATCGTGTCACGACAACAAGCGGTCGTCTCACCTTGATGAACTGCTCCAGCAGGTACCCGTTCGCGCCATGCACCTCCACGCCGTCAAACCCCGCGTCAATCGCGTTGCGCGCCGCCACACGGTACTGCTCCACCACCTGGAACCACCCACGCAGGACATCGCAACGATAAGGTGAACAATGGGAAACGGGATGCCTAAGATGGGGATACTACACGCGGCGCAGGCGCGCGGTACCGCGCGATCGCCTGGAGCAATTCGTTCCGGATATCGCGACGATGGAAATGGGTGAACCATGGAGATGGGTCGAAGGGAAGAGCACGCGGAAACGCCACGGGGCGTAGCAACACGGTACTGTTCGGTCAGCTGGATTCGCCATTGTGAAGTTGATCGACACTGGCGATAGTGGTGCCAAGCAGCGAGCACGAATGCGGAACCCGCGTCGCGTCGCGCAGCGAGCACCAATACGGAGCCACCCCTGCCCTGGCGCTTCAGCCCTACCTTGAAGGAAATCAGCCACGCCTTAGACACATCGCGTCCGTCTCTGTACCTACGCAGCCGCGCGGCTTCGTACCTTGGACGGTAGGTAGTCTCCCCTACCTTCTTGATCTCTTCCGCGGTCATGGCCCTGGGCGTGGGATAGTCGGCGGCGCCAGTGCTGATGTACACCTTGTCCACGCTACGGATGGGAATGGCGGACGGAGCCATCGGCGCGGCGCCATCAGGCTGGTACTCTGCTCGGCGCACAGTGGGGGGCGGAAGGGGCAGGCGAATGACGAGGAGGAGAGGAAGGAGCGATGAGGAACGACAGTTGTGAATGCGCGAAGACTCTTGGAGAAAAAAATGGGAACTAGTACGTGAGGTTGGTTGGTTCGCATCGTGATGGTAGGGTGAGGGACGAAGCGGGGAGAATGAAAGATGCTGGGTGAGCGATCAAAATCGCCAATGTGGAAGTGAGACGCAAGATGATCAACGCGAATGGCATTAACCTTGAACGACAACCCCAGGCTCCACGATGGTAAGAGTCTCCTTTTACCATCAATGCAGCAATGCCGCATTGCATTGCGATGTAACGATGCCGCATGACCATTGCCAATGCGCAGGTCGGCGTCGTGAGAGAAATAAGCAGGAACAGAAATTCGCTTTGGTGCGACGTTGGTCGACGTCGTGGACACCTTGGCACGAGCGGGATTCACCTTGGTGCGACGCGCGGCCGACGTGCCACAGCTGGCAGTAGAACCGCGCGCCCTTGTCGTGCACGGCCTTGATCACCGGCTTCCACGCCGCGATCTGCGCCTCCGTGTAGATCCCCGGGGTGTCGGGGTACCCGTGCGCCTCGGGCGAGATGCACGTGGCCTCGGTGAGCATGAGCCCGCCCTTGTGCGCGCGCTGCGAGTAGTAGATCGCGGCGTTCGGCTGCGGGATGGTCCCGAGAGCGCGATCGCGCGTCAGCGGCGCGTAGACGATGCGCATTGAGAGCTCCGTGCCGTCCGGGAGAGTGAACGGCGTGAGGAGCGGGTTGGCCATGATGAGCGGCGCAAGCGGGTCCACTGAGACGGGCGGAGCAGAAAATGCAAGGACTTCTGCTGCGGGGATGAAGGAGCTCAGCACACGGAAAAAGGGTTGCAATGTGCGATGAAGTGCTAGCTGACAGAAATGGTTTCAGCAGCAGAAGGAATACGCGTAGCATCAGGCTGAGATCGTTCATACAACCTGGTCAAAAAAAATGCACGTATTGATTAGGGCGGGTCAAAAAATGCACGTATTTGCAGGAAACCCTACCCTTTCAATTATACCGCTCTGAATCATCAAGTCTAAACCTTTTTCAACCGCATTCGGACGTACAGTTTTGACCCGCCCTTACTGCACACCGCGACGCGGCATATTAGTGTGACCAGGCAACAAGTACAGTGGTGGCTCGGTTTGAAACGGTATTGCTGGTTCGTTTATATTTGTATATGTTCGTTTTTTGGATCAAATTTCTGGGCCCCGATCTCTTCCGTTTCCCGAGCTCGCCGCCATGGATTTCTTCAGGATCTTCAGTCCAGCATCTCGTGAAGCACACGTGTCAGTTGACTTCTTAGACCATAGCATTGTACTCGCGTTATCGCGACGAATCGATTGGTACAGCATTCATGTCCATCAAGCGGACATTGTACCAGTTCATTCTCGGGATCTGCTAATTAAGTCTAACAAGATAACAAACCTCAAGGCTTCATTATCTAACATCCTGTTGCTGATTCAGCGTGCTGAACAAGGGATCACATCGCAAGTCTATGATTTTCTTTTCTTATTATACGTAACTTTCAAGGCTAGCAAGCACCACCCATCGGTCTCATCAGCAACAACACATCATCTGCTTCAGGAACATTGGGCTTCAGAAGGCTTCCTGCAGTTACTACTTAATGTGCTCAGATGTCCAGCTTTGCAGGCATTTCTGGCCTTTGTGCTTTATCAACTTTCATTGCTGGATCTGACTCGTCGTCGCACAATGCCGCGAAACCTGCCGAAGGAGCATGCACCACCGGCGCCGAAGAATGCTGGTGCTTCTGCTGCTGCAAAACCTGCTGTCAAAGGAAAGGAGGTGGTAGAGGACAACCATGGTGATCCTGTTGCAAGTGGATCTGGCTTGTCGCTGGAAGAGAAGCTGTCTGCGCTTACTTCTGCGAAAGAAGAGGTGGAAGACGAGTTTACTGATGATGACTCTGACGATGAGCTGGATTTCGATGTTACCAAGGACTCCATTGCCAGCAAGCGCTACATGGCTATTGTGCTGCTGCCGTTCATCCTGCAGCAGGAAATGGCTTTTGTCATCGTGACCGTGCGGATGCTGTTGAAGCGTGTCTGGTCCTCGCTTTTGTCTGACGGTGCTAACACCCAATTTAACTTTCAGGAACTTCTCCCTGGTTATGTTCTTAAGAAGAAACATAGCCGCCTTCAAGTGTCTTCCCTGAAAGAAGAAGATGCGAATAACGTTCGTCAGGCAACATTGGATTATCAGCAGGCTAAGGGTACCTCATTCAGACTGCACTGCTGCATACTGAAAATACGGCATTTACCCGGTTGAAGGCGACCAATCCGCGCATCATCGAAGTGGTTTTTAAAGGCATACCTGCGAATATTACACCGGAGGGTTTGGAGGAGATGCTGGTTAAGTACAAGTTGAATATTTGTCAGGTCACGCCGTTCCTGGAAGGTTACTGTTTCCATCGCGTGCTGCACCCGGTCTCAGGAGCTGACACGGATGTTATTAAGGGATTGGTGATGCCTCACCCGAAGGATACGAAAAGGTGCTGGATCGATCAAGTCAAGCATCCCCTTGAGCACTACCCTATGCTCTCATGTCTGCTCTGTGGGGTGCGCATTATGACAAGCATCATGATGTCTTCACCACAGAGAGACAAAATAACATAGGGAAGTGGAGTCTAAATATCGGTCGTGTACATAGGATCAATGGTAACAATGAGCTGATTTCCTCAACAGTTGTGTCCCACTTACCGTTTCACTAAGTTACTAACCCTCTGGTCGCCTGTTGCAGCTGCATCTCTCGCCGCATCCCGCCTGGTGAAACCGATACTGCTAGATCTTGCCATTGTCTTGATATCCACTGGGAGCTCCAAGGAAGAATGGATCTGCACTTAGACATGCTGCGGAAAGGCTCACGGAAAGGTGTTTGTCGCTGCTGCAAAACACATCACCACTGCTTGGCATCTGCAAGGACAGGGAGAGTTGGGTGCTGTTACCCGTGTGACAATGGAGAAGGAGAATCTGCACACAATCCGCAAGGAGTATGGAATCTAAGGGACGCGGATCTGCTTTCGATGGTGATAGTGGCTGGATCGTTGGTCGTTGCTGTAGCTTGTTTCACCTGCCTGTGGATGCGTAGAGGCACTCAAGGAGTGATTAAATGAATACACGGAACACCCTATCCTTTGCGGGCCTAAACATCAACGGCCTGGGTGACAACAATAAACGGAAACGAACAATAGACTGGAGTTACAGCACGAAAGTAGCAGACGGGATTATACTCTCTGACACAAGAATAGCGACAGATCACCCCTACTGGTCCACTCTTAACCTCACCTCCTTTGCCACTACCACTCCGATCACCCGAGCTGGAGGAGTAGCAATCCTTAGCCGTAGAACAGACCTCTCCTTTCATAACCCGTTAGCTCACCCATCGGGAAGGCTGGTGAAGACTGAAATCCACTGTGCCAACCTGTGCCTACTGTACTAGCTGTTTACTTTCCCTCAGTCAAAGCCGCAAGACGAGCGTTTATCAGGACAGTGTCAGGCCCCTCGATAGATCTCATCCCGACAGGCTCTCATCTGCTCATTATAGAAGATCTTAACATAGTTGAAATTCCAGTGCTAGATAAGACCTCAAAACATGACTCTACGAAAGACAATAACCATCTCTTCCAGCGATGCAAGGACTTTGACATTGCGGATGCTTCCGCTCTCTCTGCCCTTTCAAGCGCGAGTTCACCTTCTACTCACAAGTGCACTAGGAGAGTACGCAAATTGATCGAGCGTTGGTCTCTCGGTCCCTACTTCCGTGCCTTGTGTCCGCCTCACATGTCAAACCAGATGAACCAGTTTCTGACCATGGCTTCGCCGTCCGCGTTGCCTTCAGGGTCAAGTCGCAGTTGTAGACGGGTCCGGGAGTCTGGCGTTTACACCCCTCAATACTGCAATGGCCGGGAGTATGGAAAATTCTGGAGGAAGTGGAGCGGCAGGTGGCGCTGAGAGGGGAAATTTTTTAGGTGTTGATCTCCCGCATGAACGCCAGTCTCCGCGCCTATGCCAAAGAAGAGAGCAAACGTATAAGGGCGACGATTGCTCACCTGGCATCCTCTGTCACGATCCTGAAGCAGGAGTTCATGTGCAATCCCAAAGATCAAGTGTTAAAAAAGAAGCTGCGCAAGTGGGAAAGGGAGCTCAAGGAATCCCATGTATGCCGGAGAGACAGGATGCATACCATGGCGGGGGTGAAGGAGCTCACCGGTGAAGTTCCCTCACCGCACTTGTCGGCTATGATTAAGACTCGGAGGGTCAGGACGCAAATCGCTAAGTTGGCGGTCCCAGGAGGCATGGTGGTCGAACCGAAGCAGTTCCTGGAAGCAGCATCGGATTACTTCTGGAGCCTACTTGGGGAAGACAAACGTACAGCAGTAGCTGATTGGACGCCACCAGCAGGAAAGCGGCTGGGACTCACAGACGCGGAATGGTTGATGGAGGACCGGTCCGAAGAGGAAGTGAAGCGGGCCGAGATGGCGAGTAACAAAACCCTGGGAAAGGATGGGCTGTCGAAGGAGATCTTCGAGCAGCATTGGGATGTCCTTGGGAAGCACTTTATTGCCCTGGCGAAAAACTTCACCGCCTCTGCTTCACTTCCGACCAGCATTAAGGACGCGGTTACCATTCTCTTGCACAAGAAAGGTGCAAAGGATCAATTGGAGAACTATCGCTCGATAACACTGCTAAACAACAGTTACAAGGTATTGGCACGAGTCCTGGCGAGCAGAATAAAAAAGGTGCTGCACAAAGTGATATCAAAGGAGCACTTTGGTTTCATACCGGGGAGGAGAATCTCTTACGCAATCGGGCTGGTCGCTGACGTCATTGATGCTGCAAAAAACGGCAAGGAGGACTGGTTCTTGTTACTCGTTGATTTCAAAAAAGCGTTTGACTCGGTCTCCCGAGATTTCATCTTCGAAGTTATGGGGAAGATGGGCTTCCCGGCCCACTTCATGGGCTGGGTGAAGGGGCTGCACCAGAACACGCGCACGAATCTGTTTGTGAACGGCTGGCTCGGTGAAGCGGTAGAAGTAATCTCAGGTGTGCGGCAAGGGTGTCCAGTGGCGCCATACCTGTTCCTATGTGCAGTGGAGTCGTTGGCACAGAAGGTGGAAAAGCGAAAAATCGGAATCACGCTTACCAGCAACGTGGGGCAGAGACTGGGTTATGTCGGCTACGCAGATGACACCACACTCCTGTTAGAAGGAAATGCTGCCGTGAGCCACAAAGTGTCGGCACTGGGATTCGAACTCGTGACCTTCAAATCTGTCCTGAAAGTGTCTCAGGACAGATTCAGGACAGTTTCTGCTAAGGTGCTGGTTATGCTGCACGCGAGTTTCGAACTGGAGACCTTTCGATTCAAGTGTCCCGAAAGTATCTTGTCAGGACAGATTGGGGACAGTTTGGGGACAGATTGGGGACACTTTGGCGAAATCGATCTCGGGTCGCGTTCGGTTTGAAACTCGGCAGCGAAGTGTCGAAGTCAACGGAATTCGCACGGGAGTTACAGTCGGTGGTCGACGGAATTCTGGTCGCGGAAATTCTCGTCTACGGAATTCCAGTCAATGGAATTCGCTCGGCGAAATTCAAGGCTCGGAATTTCGCGTCGACGAAATTCAGCGCGCGACCCGGGTCGACACTTTCTTGTGTGCTTTGTTTTTGTATTGCGTCCTAGTATAAAACCAGAGAGCACAAACAAGAATTAATCCAAGTCATTACTACAGCTA